CGAGCAACTTAATTTTAATTTTTTTTTTTTTTTTTTTAATAAATTTAATAAACTGCATTTTATTCTGCTCACGCAAAAATGCACGAGCATTTCAACAATGCTCGCCTGATTTCACACGAGCACTGTTGAAATGCTCGTGCATTTTTGCGCGAGCAGAACCAAGTAATTTTTTTTTTTTTTTTTTTTCGTTTCATTATTTAAATGTTTTTTTTTATTAAATGAAATATTAATAAGGTAAATAGTTATGGTAAAAAGGTAAAAAACCATGGTAAAAAAGTGCCTGAATGTTTAATTTGGCCTGCGTATATCACTACCCATAGATAAATTACGGTCACCCCTGAGATATACTCAAATTATGAAAAGCACCTCATGCTTGGGTAATTATAATCACCCCTTAATTATGAATCTTTTTACGCTTCCACACTTATGGTGTCAAATTCAATAGAATATAATATTCTACATTACGTGGAATGTTCTCTCGTTTGTACTCGTTTTGTGCAAAAATGCAGTTTCTGATACACCACAATCTGATATTTATGATCCATGAGACACATCTTATGATTATCTTGTTTCAAAATGTAGAACTCGAATGAGATAAAAACAGGTACAAACTGGAGGAATTCTACATAATCTAGAAGATTACACTAAATTTAACATGGCAATGGTGGACATGTAAGAAAATCCACAAATTAGGGGTGATTGTAATTACCAAAACATGAAGGATTCTTTTGTAATTTGACATTACTTTGGGGGTGGTCGTAATTTATCATAAATATAATTGATGGTTGAAAAAGTGAAAATAATGTTGGGGTGGGCTGGGCTTTGGGTCAAGCGCGTGAATCTTCCACAGCTATAAAAAAATCAGAACCCCCAAACAAAGGCTTCTTCCGCGCACATTAGCACAGCGAATTCATTTCCCACCAAAGCGATGTCGTATTTGCTGCCTCACCTTCACTCTGGATGGGCCGTCGATCAGGCTATACTCGCCGAGGAGGAGCGCCTCGTCATCATCCGTTTCGGCCATGACTGGGACGAAACTTGCATGCAGGTCAATTTTTCTCTGCTGTTTTTCCACTGTATTTTTAACCTAATTGATTACTTGTTCGGAACTCCTCTTCTCCTTCGTCGAGATCCGTGGCTCTTGATTTTTAGATTATTGGGTGTTTATTGCATTTATTAGCTCCGTAATTGCATCAATTTGGGCTCTAATAGTCTCGATTGAATTGGAATTTGGGATTCTGAAATTTATTTTTTCATCATGATTTTCATGGGAAATTTTGGGTGAAATCGACATGTTTATAATCTAGTAATCGCATCAAAGTTGTTACTCTTAGTTGAATTTTAGCATGTATTTGCCATGAAGTAACTAAAGTTAGTAAGTACATTGATAATAATTGTTCCTTGTGCTGCTCTAGGTTATACATCATCAACTTATATATATATATATAAGATTGGGATTCATATTTGTGAAAGAATTAATCTATTCAAATTTGGGTTGGTCTCTTTTGAGTTTTACTGAGTCGATGTTGTCTGCATCAGCTGTCCAGCGGAAACAACGAATTTGTATTGATATTGCTAGGCTCAACTTGCATTTGTTTCTCTATGAAGATGTTCCTTTTTTTTTGTCCAGAAACCCCGAATTTCTGTCTAAACGAGGTCAAATTTTATTGAGTAATCTGTAGCTTTAAGTCCTTCAATATTACTCAAGGTCCTTTGCTGTTGAAAAAGGTACTGTTGATACTTTATATTATTAAAGTCATGCATCCATTGGTCAACTTGCAATTGAAGTCGTTTATAACTAATTTAAGGATCTCTTATTAGTTTAAAGAAATCTTTATCTATGAGTAAAACAAGAAATAGAAGTTTGGGGCATGAAATCCACTTGATACTGTAGAGTGTAGACCTTTGGACGAATTATTTATTTCCGTTTCCTTGGTTTTTTTTTTTTCCGGTTTGGTTTTATAGGAGTGCATCAGTGCATGGCTTCTGCCTGTATATGATGCAGAAAGTTTCGATGCAAATCAGGATCTTCTTGTTTCATAAGGCCTCCATGTCTGACTTATTTCTTCTCTTTTGAGAACTTTGTAATGATGATGAGTTGTGCAGATCCCCCCCCCTGCTCTCTCTCTCTCACACACACACACACACTATGCAAGAATCATGTGCTATAGATATATCATCCACATAATAGCAATTCATTCCTCGTATTTTCTTCGGCATATGCTGAACATTTTCTTAGATATATTGCTGTCGTTATTGAGAAATCTGGTCTTATCCTCTACGATTCGTCTGCTTAAAAAATTCCCATAATGTGATTCTATTTTTCTGCAGATGGATGAGGTGTTGGCTTCAGTTGCGGAAACACTAAAGAATTTTGCAGTGATATACCTAGTGGATATATCAGAGGTGCCTGATTTCAACACAATGTACGAGCTGTACGACCCGTCAACAGTCATGTTCTTCTTCAGAAACAAACACATTATGATCGATCTCGGCACTGGAAACAACAATAAGATCAACTGGGCATTGAAGGACAAGCAGGAATTTATTGACATTGTCGAGACTGTGTACCGTGGTGCTAGGAAGGGCCGTGGTCTTGTTATTGCTCCTAAAGACTACTCCACCAAATATCGCTACTGACTTCTTACATCTATCTTTCGAGCAGTATCAGTGGTTACTCGCGTATTATTTATGCATAATTGCGATGCTCAAAACATCTGTTCGATAACTGAATCAATCCTCAGGGAATATTGGTGTGTTGTAACTCAAGAATGCTATTATCTGCTATTATTGTTATATGTGATTTTCACATCTATGAATTATGATATGAATGGTATATGCTAAATAAATGATGAGCTGTAACTTGTGTAGTATTGTACCATTTTTCTGGGTTTGTTGGCTAAAATTTGACTAATTTTCTTTTACAGGCGTATTGAACTGGAGCAGCTCAACCAAAATTCAAAACTCTGAGCATAATTATAATATTTAATTAAATTTAAATTAAAAAATAAGATTCTTAATACATATTATTAATTAAATAAAAATATGTTTGGATCTGAAATTATTAAAAGATCCGATCCAATAAACAAGTACTACGGAGGCCCATTATTTGTTGTAAAAAGCCCAATTAAATGGGCCTGTTGAAACCCTTACAGAAGCATTACAGCCACGATCGATTTCTCTCTCTCTCTCCTCTCTCATTTCTCTCTCTCTGCTGAAACCCTAAACCTACGCCGGATCTCACTCTCTGGTTCGCTGTGTCTACTGTTTATCTCCGCAGTTCTTCCGCATACAATTATGGCAAGCACAACGGAACCCACAGTTCTTAAAAAGGAAGAAGAAGAGGAAGACGAGAAGCCATTAGCGGATGACGAAGATACCGGCGCTCAGATAGCCCCGATCGTTCAACTCCAGGAAATTGCCGTTACTACAGGCGAAGAAAATGAAGATATTATCCTCGACTTGTAAGTAATCTGATTTTCTAGGTTTAATTTTCATATTAAATGTTTATCATGTACTTTTAGCAGGAAATGATTTAGGTTTTAAGTGGATCGAAAATTAGCCGAACAGATCTTGGTTGTGCATTTGATTCTGTAGTCTGTAGATGTAGCGCGTGAATGGATCCACACATTTGATGCGATAAATTTGAAATGTTAACTCAATTACTGTTCCTGGGAAGTTATTTTTGGTTCTGACTCATAGATTAGTTGATGCGGTTGATGAAGTGTGTTAAGAGTTTCCAAGTATGTTTTCTTGAGTTGTTTGTGAATTGTGATTGATAGAAAGATGAAATCGATGGACATGTGGATTTACTGCAATACTTTCATTTATAACTATGTTTTTTGTTAAGAATTTCGAATCAATTCATTGAAGTAGATCTGGATTGCCTGATATTTCCATTCTGTGTGAATGTTGTCTTTGATAGTGTTTGCGTTTGTTATTATAATAATTTAATGTTAAATTGTTTGTCAT